ATTCTTACTGTTTCTTTCACTTAATTGTTTCTTCTGTGTTTGTCCAACAATTTTCTGTGTTGCATTCTGCATTAGAAATTTTTTGCTCTTGGGTTGTATTAGTTTTCTGGAATATTATGTTTATTATTCAATAGAAATTATTTTAAGCAATTTCTCATGTTTCTAATATATAACACTGAGGACTAATGCTATGTGATATATTTGGAATGTTAAAATGATGAAAGAAATAGAATAATAACAATTCACATTTGTATCATATTTTAAGACCTAGAAAAAACTTGTTGTGAGATTGTTGATTATAGGAGAATCTACTTGGTAGGTTATACAAATATTATTATCTTCATTTGACTGATGAGGAAATTGATACTCACAGAGGTTGTGACTTGCCAGCAGTCACAGAGTCCCTAAATGCTGCACCTCGAACAAGACCCCAGGCTTCTCAGAGGCTCTGAGTCCTTGGGCCTTTCCTGGCATCGTTCTGCCTTTCTAGGTCATGACTTGATTGTTTTGTTGTTTCAGTTGTTTCACTCATGTCTGGCTCCCCGTGACCCCGTTTGGGGTTTTCTTCACAAAGCTACTGAAGTGGTTTGCCCTTTGCTTCTCCAGTTCATTTTACAGATGAAGAAACTGAGACACACAGGGGGAAGTGGCTTGCTCAGGGTCGCACAGCTAATAACTGTCTGAGGCCAGATTTGGACACAGGAACATGAGTCTTCTTGACTCCAGGCCTAGAGCTCTATCCTTTCAGATTTGAGTTGAGCTAGATAGTGGCTGATGGTCCCTTCCAATTCTAAAATCCATGATTCTGTGGTTCTGTGGAGTATGAGATCATGAAAGCATCATTCAACTATTGAAGTTTATTTCTTATTTTGATTGCTCTTTATTGCCATTTTTTCCTCATTTATCTAGCTATTGCTTAGATTGTATACTTATATGTACAGCTTCTTTAAATTAGAATAATGTTTCATTTTTGATGATTCAATTGCTGTTAGAAAAGACAGTAGAAACAGCCTCTCCCCTATAATGCCATTGTCTTCCTCTATTGATTATCTCATTTCTTTTCTATATATCTTGTTTCTACATAGGTGTTTGCTTGTTTGTATATAATTTCCCTTATTAGACTATGAGCTCCAAGAGAGCAGAATTTTTTTTTTTTGCATTCCTCTGTGTCCTTGGAGCTGAGTACAGTGGCTGGCACCCGGAAGAAATTTAATATATTCTTGTCAGCTTGACTTATTTGAAGTTACCGTAAACTCCATTGGTAAGCAGAGGAGTGGATGGATCAGCGTTCTGTTTGATTTCATGTGAGAAGACCCTGCTAAGATTTCCCCAGTTTCCACACACTAACAAACCTCCTTGTGAGCCTCTTTGACCAATTTTATTGGTGAAGAAAAGTAGATGGACTTGCCGTACCAATACGTAATAATGATCCTTTCTTTCAAGAAGTTTACAAACAAGGAAATATCTCTTTGGTCTTGTAGGCCTTTCTCTCTCTCTCTTCACGTTTGGTAATTTCATGTTCAGTGTTCCCAACTTCTGCTTACTTAAGCACTCTAGGCCAGATGTGGTATTTAGAGCCTAAGAAATTTGAAAGCATTCAGCGACTTCACTCTCTTCATCCCTCCCCCTCGCCCCCACCCCCCAACTCCTGCAATCTTATACTATCTAACCCAAGCCTTATCTTTTGTGTGGTGAGGAAAGAGAGAGACTAGGTTTCATTGTTATAATTTCAGGTTTGAAAGCAGAGTTGATGTTTCCACTTAACAATGTCTTCATTTCAGAGCCAATCTTACTTCTCTTTGCCTGGGCAGATTCTTCCATGAATCTCTGATTCTTCTTAATTGTCACGACTCTTTGCTTAGCAGCTAACATCAGAGAGTTTCCTTGTGGCTTACCTGAACAGAGCCGAAGCTTCCAACGGGGCACGAGCTGGCAGTTACTTACAGATTGTCATCTGAGAGGTACTAAGAAGGGCCAGTTAATCAACAAGCATTTGTTACACACTTCGTTCCAGGCCTTTGATAACCCTTGGAGATAAAAAAAAGAAAAGAAGGTCAAAAAACAGCTCCTGCCTTCAAGAAACATCCTTTTTTTTTTCTTTTTTAGGCAGTTGGGTTAAGTGATTTGCACAGGGTCACATAGCTAGTAAGTGTCAAGTGTTTGGTCTGAGGCCAGATTTGAACTCGGGTCTTCCTGGCTTCAGGGCCAGTGCTCTATCCACTGTGCCACCTAGCTGCCCCAAGGAACATCCATTCTAATGGGAAGACATCATGTAAAAAAAAATAGGGGGGAGTGTGTATGTGTGTGTGTGTGTGTGTGAGTGTGTGCACTCGGGAACATGCCTGCCAGAAGGTAACCTTCAAGTAGAAGGCTATAGCAGCCAGAGGGCACAGTGTGAAGATTAGGCAAGGTCGTCTGTAGAAGGTGCCATTTGAGGGGAGTCTTGAATGAAGCCAGTTATTCTAAGAGACAAAGATGAGAAGGAAGAACATTCCAGACATGGAGGCCACGGAGATGGGAGATAGAATGTCCTGGATGAGGATCAGCAAGTAGGTCAGTATCGCTAGGTCAAGGAATGCATGGAGGGGAGTCAAGTCCGAAAGTTTGGAAAGATAAGAAAGTGCTTTAAATGACACAGGACTTTGTGTTTTATCCTACAGCCATCGGCAGCCACGGAAGTTTATTGAGTGTTTCTAGGCCGGGGTGGGGGGATGCTGTGGGAGGGGGGAAGGATAGTGACGTGGTCAGAACGATACTTCAGGAAATTCACTCTGACAGTTGTGTACCAGACGTTGGGAAGAGATGAGGCAAAGGGACAAATTAGAAGGCTAGCACAATATTTCACTCCATAGGTAATAAATGCCCAAACCAAACTGATGCCAGTATAAGTGAGGAGAAAGGAACATCTGGGTGTGACAGACACTGTGAAGGTGGAAGTGATAGATATGCCTGATAAAATCTTTTTATTGCCAATTCATTCATTTGGGTTTATAAGCAACTCTCTCAAATATGTTTAAATAAAACATAAATATCGTTAGAAGGTGGGTAATAAAATTGTTTGCACCTTCATGTCAGATTAATCAGATATATTCCTTCTAAAAATGTTTTTCCTCATGCCTGGAATGCCCTCTTTTTTATCTGATGCCTCTTAGAACCCTTTCCTGCCTTCAAAGCTCAGCAAAAGTTTCCTCTTACAAGAGACCCTTCCCTAGCTGCTAGTGCCTCTCCTCCAAATTACCACATTTATGTACATATGCTATTATGCATATACATATTATATATATATAGATACACACATAAGGTCATATTGGAATGGGAGTCAAAGGCCATAGAGACCCTTGTTTTTATAGATAATCCCTTCATTTTAAAGATAAGGAGACAAGTCCATAAATATTGAGTGATAAGCCTAAAGTCAAGCAGGCAGTTAAATGATGGGTCCTGGTTTTCTGACCCCACACTGCCATGCCGCCTATTGTTCCTCCCAATAGACTATTAGACCCTTGAAGGCTGGGAGCTTTCATTTTTGTCTTTGTGTCCCCCGCGCCCAGCACAGATGCTAGCATGTAGCAGGTACTCAATACATGTTTTCTGATTGGTGGATAAAGATTGAGATGTTTGCCTGAAAGGGAGTTTTGCTAAGGTGAAGAGCAGGAGGAAGGGATGATTTTGGAGTATGTGATAGTATCTAGAGGCATTACACCTACAGGGAAGCTCTGGGCAGCCAGAGGGCAAAAAGAAGGATCTGGGCATCTATCTTAAAAATGGCGGAAAGAGAGCTTTGGGAAGTGATAGAGGATGGCAATAAGGAAGGTCCAAGGACACTTTAGAAAAATTTTACCTACTACTCAATTTTGCCAAAGGAAAAATAAAATAGAAATATGTTATAAATTTAGATCCTTAGGCCTTGCAATTTTTCATTGGTCCTCTTTAATTCAGCATCTTAAAGTATCTATGTGTTTTTATACTTTAATAATTCAGATTATAGATATGATATGCAAAAATTATAAAAGCATTAAAATGAAAATTTGTAAAGCTTAGCACAACTACATTACACTATTGCACTCATATTTTTCAGATACTGTACTGTGATAAGATAATGGCTAATGTGGGAATAAAGATAATTGAGTTCTATGGCTGGCAGAGTTGAATTACATATTAGCTGTAAGGAGGAAAAAAACAGTTAAATTTGCTTTTAACTGTCATTTAAGGATTATTTCTTTCATATTTATAATCCAAGTAATTAATATTTAAAAATTTCACTATAAAGTGACTTTTTGTAGATGCTTTTGATATTTGCTTACATACCGCTCTAAAAGCCAAGGGATAATATGGATAAAATCATAGAAAGTAAAAAAGAAAAAAAAAGAAAGTTTAGTCAGTAATGTAAAAAATTATCCTTATTAAACTTATCGAAGTTTATAACTGGTAGCAAACCAATGGATTTTAGTTTCATTTTGATTCAGCCTGTGGTGGAGGTGCTGATGGGCAACGAAGCAGGCAGGAAATAATTGATGGAACAGAAGGATAGACAGGGATAATAAGGACCTGGATAGTTAAAAGACGCTCTATCAAACCTTAAGTAAAAATATATTTTAACTGCACTAGTAAACAGCAGAAATAACAGTAGTCTACCAGGGCTTCTTAAACTTTTTCCACTTGCATCCCTTTCAGCACTTCTTAAACTGTGGGTCACAACTCCCAACTCTACACTACAATGGATAACTTTTGATCTGCTTCAGTCCATCATTTTTAGTTATCTTTTATTCTCAACACAAGCTGTTGATTATATTCATTGTGGTCATCTGGACTTTCAAAAGAGAAGTTATCTTGATAACCTCATAGAATTTTGAGAAGATTGTACTGATTTTAAAGCATTTTTTTGTATCTCATTATACTCTATGTTTTATATGATATTTTTAAAAATTAAACTAAAAATTGAATCCATTATGTTACCATTTAATGTTAAGCTGAACCTATCTGTTGATTCTCACTTTTTGTAGGTTATTCGGAAGGGATGGCTAACAATCAACAACATTGGCATCATGAAAGGAGGATCTAAGGAATACTGGTTTGTCCTTACTGCAGAAAGCTTGTCCTGGTATAAAGATGATGAGGTAAGGAAAATGGTTTCAGTTGTCTCTTAATAATAACTTGTACTCATTTCTCATCATTGCTGTGAATACATTCCAGAAACCATTGGTTCTCTTGCAGGTAAATTTATGCTTCGGTTTGCATTTTGTGGGAGAAAAATGTTCTTTTTACAACTTTTCATCATTAAAATATGTCTTGAATTTCTCTTGCTGTTCAGTTACATTGAGACAGTGTATTTTTTGTTTGTTTACTTACGTGTAGTAAGCAAGTAGTAGTTCGGAAATCTAGGAAATTAATATTCATTAAACCTACTATCAGCTAAAAAGATGCCAGATCAGAATGAGAAAGCATAAGATGGCTTCAGAATAAAACAGCAACCGCCACAGAGATTTTTGAAAAATATTTTGATGCTAGTGCTTAGGTATATGCCTTATATATGGTAGGTTTTTAAAAACCTGCCCAAATAGTCTTCAAGGGCTTTTTTTTTTAAACAATACTAGGTAGATAATTTTGTACAAGTGATTTGGAAATATAATGCCATTTCCAATAATGCACACAAAATGGTGATAATTTGGCATTTCTGGTACATAAGCCTGACATGGAGACGTGATGAAAGTAAAAATTGGGCTCTTCAGTTACGTATATATTTTTTGCAGCTCTTTCTGTCCAAGGTAGAGAAGCTAATAATAAATTCTTGGCTTGAATTAATAATAACTGAATCTTTTGAAAGGAAGAGGGAGGGACAAGGGGAGCTGCAATTCTGGACCTGATTCTAAGGAACACACAGAGCAATTTATTATTGGAGTAGACATTATGTAGATGTTGGAGGAGGGGGAATCATTAATTCAACTTATAATTTGTGACCGAGGAGAATAAATCTGAGCATTGTATGAAACCTTAGATCCTGGGGAAGCAGATTTCAAAGGATTCAGAGAAAGTTTAGTTAGAATTTCATAGCCTAAAATTCTGCCAAGGAAACCTGCCAATTAGGGGACAAGTAGCTCCCAAGACTGATATTCTGCAGGTTCAGTATAGAAGAAAAGGGTGAGGTATCGTCAGGGCCAGGTATAGATACAGAGGTAACTCATCAAACTGAGATTTTTTTTTAAAGACACCTATAGGAGATGAAAACAAGGGGAGTTAATGGAAGAGGAATACTTAAGTGTAGCGTCATCCTGTGGGAATAGTGTCAAGAGCAGTAAAACTTGGGATGAACATAGGCTGTCAATAAATGCTAAGAACAATAAAAGCTTAGTGTGTTTTTTCTCTATATTGGGGGAAAAAGGGATGAACAACAAAAGGGTGCTTAAGGTATATGGGATGATGATAATGTGTGACAAAGCAAAAAACCAAAATATTTCAACTCTTATTTTGTATCTATTTTCTCTGCCAAGGAGAAAAATCTTGGAGCTGGAAAGAATAGAACAAAAATTTGTAGTAGGTAGTTGAAATCTGAGATAGGTAAAGGAGATGGTAAAAGCATGTTGATGTCTTTGGTGAATACAAACTATAATTTGTCCAGTCAAACTATATTTCGTAGTGATGAAAGACTAGAGGAATGATATGAGTCAGTGATATGAGTCAGTGACTTGTGAAGGATTGTGGCAAATAGGAGAGGTATCCTAGGGCCAAAGAAAAGCAAATATCGCCCTATTTCTTAAGGGAATAAAAAGGAAGAAATGAATTTGCACAGTAGAGGACAATGAGTTTGTCCTAAAATCTGGACACAATTCTAGCACATATTTTAAAAAGTGTTATATTTATTCTGAAGTTGCTCAAAACAAAAAAAGAAAAAAAAGAACATTTCTATTCACAAAGTAGAATAGCATAAGAGGATTATGTATAAAACTGTGTTTTTAAAAGTATATTATAAATTCAAAATATTATTTTCACAGCTGTCCTGTTTGTTTCCACCTCAACTTCAATTAGTTCTTTTCTTTGCATTAAAAATATGCTGAAATGACCCTCTTTCCTTTCTTCTTCTTTTTGATCCTATCTGTAGCTCTTCTCTACCCCCTGAATTTCATTCCCTCCTCAAATACCTAAAGAAAAACACAATCATTATAATAAGTAAGCATAGTCGAGTAAAATAAATCCATACATTTAGCATGTCCAAAAATACATCTCCTTCTGGACCCTGAATTCATCACCTCTTTCACCAGTCCTCTGAAGTTGTGGTTAGTCCTCAAATCAATGAGAGTTCTTATCTTTCGAAGTTGTTTTTCTTCAAAATGCTGCTGTTACTGTGTAAATTGTTCTCCTGGTTTTATTCACTTCACTCTGAATGAGTTCATATAAATATTTCCATATTTCTTTGAAACCATTTCTTTGGTTGTTTCTTATGACATAATAATATTCCATTAAAGTCACATATTATAACTTGTTCAATGATTACATGATTGACAGAACCTCCTTTGTTTCCATTTCTTTGCTGCAACCAAAAGTGCATGTAGGAATATTTTTGTAGGTATAGGTTCTTTTCTTCTTTGTTTGATATGTTGGGGGCATAGTCATAAGAAAGGTATCACTGGGCCAAAAGGTATTCGTTAACCTAATTCCAAAGTGCTATCTGGAGTGCCATAACAATTCTCCAAGAAATCCCCAGGGTCTGATGCACATCATTAAAGGGACAGTTTGTGAATGGTCTTAAAGGGAAGCAGTTATTACCAAGAGCTAGCATTTATTAATCAAGAACAGGTCATGCGAAGACAACCTCACTTCTTTCTTTTTATGGAGTTGCTAAACTAGTAAATCCAGGGAAATCTGTGAACCTAGTTCACCAAGACTTCAGTAAAATATTTGAAAAGTCACTCATGCTATCCTTGTGTTCAAGAAAAAGAGGAAGTCAGTAAGCAGCACTGTCCTAAGTGCTGGGAATAGAGATATACACTGAATCAAATAGTATTAGATTAATTCAGAACAAGTTGAATGATCAAAATAAAGCATTAATGGCTAAATCATCTTGGAGAGAGGTATTCTGTGGAATCTGCCCCTGTTGTTGTTGTGCTTAACATTTTCAGCAAAATTTGGATGAAGGTACAAATAATATGCTTATGAAATGTGCCAAAAATCTAAACTTGGAAGGGATAGTTCAAATAATTGAATAATAGAATAAGTATGAAAAAGATCCCAATAGCCCAGAATCTTGGACATAATCTAAGAGTGACCTTAATAGAAATAAATGTAGTGTCTCATGTAGGTTAAAAATGTAACTTTGTAAATACAAAATAGGAGAGGCATGGTGCTAGATAGTGAACTATATGAGAAAGATCTGGTGGATATTGGTGGACTAAAACCTGAATAAAAGTTGAGTGTGGCATGTCTGCCAAAAAAGCTAATGAAATCTCTGGCTTCATTATTTTTTTTACATGATATAGGCATGATTGTCCTCATTTTTTCAAGTTTTTAAATTTATTTTAAACTTAGTGCTAAATTTATTTTAAACTTAAATACAGTATAAGAAAAGGGAAAAAAATTACCATATACACAGCAGAACATGAGAGGATACGATTGAATGCAATAAGTTTCCATTTCAAGAAAATTTATATAATAAATACTATACATTGTTTTCAAAGCTGCCCAGCTTTTCTTTTCTTCCTTGTAAGGTTTCTTTTGTTCTCTGCTATGCACTTTTTATTTTATTTTTCTCCCTCAAGAAGGCTACAATTAAGCACGGATTTTATATATACATATATACATACACACATATATAGACAGTTATCTATAAACATATACATATATGTAAGACAGTACTTTCTACTTGTTATCTGTTTCTCTGAAGGTGAATAACATCTTGCTTTGTATGTCCAAGTCTTTCCATGTTTTTCTAAATCAACCAGTTCATCATTTCCTATGCCACAGCAATATTCCAACCCAATCACATTCTGTCTGAGAAAATATCTATGAAAGTCCCCCCCAATACTTTTCTGTGTTCCTTCTATTCTTGGCTGCTAGGTTTTATTTATAAAAGAAAATTTTAATTTAAAATAATTTAAATTATCTATTTTATACTTCAACAATGTTCTCACCTTATAATATGGTTTAAGGTCTGATACCACTGGATCTGGTTCCTTCACATCTTTTCCCCCTGGTTTCCTGAAGTTCCTGACTCTCTGCTCTTCCAAATGAATTCTGTTACTATTTTTTCTAACTCAGGTAATTTTTTTAGTAATGTAAGTGAGATGGCAGTAATCTCTGACGTCATTATGCAAAGCATAGTGGCTAGGAATTGGGAGTTGATAGGACCAACATACTGTCTCCTAGTCAGAACAAATCTGAGGTGTTATATTTACTTGGGGGTGTTATACTTTACATAGCATATTGATGAACTAGAGAGCAGTTATAGGAAAAGTGCTAGGCCTCCAGAGCATGATGTACACAGAAAAGAGGAGACTCAGTGATAGATGTCTTCCAGCATCTGAAGGGCTATTGTGTGGATGAATAGTTAAAATTGTTCTCACACACACCAGAATGAGGAACAGTGGATGAAAGCTGTAGAGGGACAGATTTAGGCTTGAGTGAAAGAAACAATTTGGTCAGCTATTTAGGGCAGCCTTAGGAGCTTGCTCCTAATTTCTCTCACTTCAGATATTTGAGCAAAGACTTGATAACATCTTGCTAGGGAGGCTGCTCAGGGGGACCCTTGTTCAGGAAGCAGTTGGACTGAATGGCTTCTTCAGGCTTTTCAAACAGATATTTTCTGATTTTGGGGGGAATGTTTTAGCAGATAGGATAAGAAATGTTTCTGCTACAAATCGCAATTCTCCGTGCTCTCAGCATTGGCCTGTATAGAGAAGTTTGCATGCCAAATTTCTAAAATGTATATTATTTCAGCAGTTTTGAAGAAAAGACATTTTTCCAGACTGACCACGTTTCATAGTTTTGCACTGGCTTCACCCCTTTTGCTCAGTCATTCCTTCCTTCTACTCCTCATTGTTAGTGTCTTCTTTGAGTCTCCACTTAGCAAAGAAAATGTAAACATAAGCAGACTGCCATGGCCACCAAACACCCAGGCTTGAAAGAG